TCCATATTTCACATGCATACACATAATAGTTCCTAAAATTTTCTGCAAATAAAGAACACATTGCTACAGATCATTAGGTTCTGATGTTATTAATGGAAAGTTCTGTGTATCTATAAGTAAATCTTCATTTATATTTGCTTTTTCTTCAGGTTCAAATTCATCCACATCTTCTCCATCAGTTATTACTTGAGGACCAGTAGATTTATATTGAAATGCAGAATGCGATAAATCAACTTCAACAGGAAATAACGTGGCAGAAGATAATAAATCTCGGGTGCTAGAATAATATTTCGCTAAACCAGCTGCGAATTTCTGCAATTGCCACACAACATCTTGGACATGTTTATTGTCTAATAATTCCAATTTTACAAGTACGTCTGATCTAAGTTTTGCAAATCTTGCACGAGCTTCTTGTCGACATCTTAAGACTAGACGATATTCATAATTTCCTGTTTCTACTCGATAAAGAGGTTCTTGTAATGAAACATAACTTTGTTCTTCATCATCTAATTCTCTCACTTTCAAACAATAAGAAAGATATTCAAATTTTGCATCGGCATATTTGCTTATGGTTAATCGAGTATCTGGAATAGCTTTGTGAAGATATGTGCCTAAATCATTCAATATAGGTTTTAAATTTTTTAATGTCATTATTCCATATTTTTCCATTTGTCTATGTTGTTCGCCAAATTGTCTGAAAGCTTCACTAGCCCGTGGTTGTGGTTCTTTTACTCCTATCGCAGCAAAGGCATCTCCAAATACTAAAACATGCAATATATTTGAAATGACAGAGAATATTAATATATTAATTAAAAATTTTATAACAATACCTTTGTACACTTGTATTAAATCAAAAAAAGCATGTAAAGTAGCTTTAGCATGAGAAACTAAACCTCTATATAAATTTTCTGTGCGTTGTAATGTCATTAATCGTTGCACAAGTGCATCATTACAAAGAATAGCACGTGATAATCCAAGTGCATCTGCTGTTGCACTTCCCATTCCTTCAATTAACCTATGTTTCACCTGAAATTAAACTTAAGCACTAGAATCATATAATCATTTGTAACATATATATACAATTTTAGATAATAAATACCTTTTTTAAAGCTATATCAAGAGTACGACCTTGTTTGGGATCAGCATGTAATTTGTTATAATTAATACTGACTTGAGAATTAGAAGATTGTATCATTTTTGCAACTTCTATTTTTGTTTTTCCTCTAGCTGATACTCCATTTATTGCTACGACTTCATCTCCTGATTGTAAAGTGCCATCTATTGCTGCAGGCGTATTATCAAAAATTTGTACAATGTACAAACAAGGACATAGTGGTGCTCCACCTCCAATACTTATGCCTATAAGATTATTGCTATCTTTTTGTATCACAACATTGCCAGAAGTTATGGTCATACCCCTGCATAAATTAATAAAACAAAGAATGTTGTTAATATATTTGTTAATATATTTGTATAATATTTATTTCATACAATTTATTTCCACATTTATATTCATAAAATAACAAATTACAATAGCAACAATAATAAATTAGTAATATATTTTATAAATAATTATAAATATGCAATATATTATACATTTATATAAAACTATTTACAAATATTATTATTTATTATATATATATATATATATATATATATATATACACAAAGTCCCCGTGACACAAAGGAAGGTTTTACATAAAAAAATAAGTCAAAAATAAAGAATAAAATTTTTTTGTAAAATGTTTTGTTTTCAAGAAGATCGAATTGGAAAGTTTATCGAGCATACTGGAATTTGTCTAAACGCAACAGGAAAGAATAATTAATAGAAGATGCAAGAATACATAAAAAAACGTGCAAAAATAAGTAAATAACATAGAATAAAATTTTTTCATTTATTTAAGAAAATAGACTTTGAATGTATTTCGTTAAAAATTATCTTGGTACATGTGTACTTGATGAACTTGAGTTTCTCAAACTCAAACAAAGCATTTTACAAAAAAATATTTTATTCTGCATTTTCGACTTATTTTTCAACTTATTTTATAATAAAGTTCTATTAATTATTCTTTTCTGTCAGGTTCAAACTAAAGTATACTTGATAAATTTTTGAATTTAATTTTCTCAAGAACTAAATTTTATATGAAATTTTATTCTTCTTTTCGACTTATTTTTTTTATGTATAATTATCCACTCCTCAATTACACTCTTGACATCTTGTATAATAAATTATATTACTATAATATATATATATAATAATTATATATATAATATAATTTATATATATATATATATATATATAAATTATATTACTATAATATTCAATATTCAAAAATGTGCATAGTACTAGATATAAAATAATTTTAAAAGCTTATGCTGATAACATATAAAATAAAGCTAAATAAATAAGAAATAGTAAAACAATTCAAACACAAATTTATGTACTAAATTATCATTTAAAAAATCCTTACCTAAATATTTTGATAATAATTAAATGTTTAAAAATATTATACTAAAAAGTATTAAATTTCTATAAAACACTATCAACAAATTAATATTAAAATGTAACTTTAACATTAAGCACATTATTATGAAAACTTACATATTATTGAGTAGATGATGAAGAGACTGGTCTTGATTGACCAGTTCTACATCTGGTCTACATTTTGCAATGATCAAAATAAATAGAATATATATTGTTTGTAATATCTTGATATATATATTAAAGAAAATGTTAATAGAAAGAACTTCAATAAAAGGCAAAAGAGTAAAACATAAACATGCATACATGCGGTCTTCCATTGTAGTAAATTGATGCAATTGCACATTAGCTAGTGGCACAGTGGTCAATGAAACAAAGTTGTCTTTACATTCTTCGACATTGTTTGTCGAAGTAAAATTACTTGTAGAAGATTCTGTTTGATCCACTAGACTATCCCACCATACCGTAGCATATAAACATGCATGTTGCAAAAAAAAGAAGCGTATTTAAATTGAAATAACACATATTGGTAAGTGAATAATTAATTGTATGAAACCAACATCTTATCTTCTTCGAAGAAGAAATCATCACAATCCATGCTTGTAATCTGTAATATTAATAAAGATTAAATTGATGTTTAACATTTTGTAGTATAGATGTAATATTAGTGACACAAATATAATGTTAGTGTTGGATAAATAAAATAATTTAGCACACTAAATTTAATTTATAATAAGTTATAATGCAATAAGTACGTAACATAAAAATTCTAATACCTTTATAAACTATTTATACGAAAGGAACAAGCCAATATGACACATGTAAACTTTACTTTCTAATTCTATGGAATACAAATATGGTAATCGATTTTTTGTTACTGTGTGTTTTCATGTATATGCATCTACGGACAAATTCGAATAATTGAAAATAAATTAACTTAATCTTCAAAACAGACACAAATATGTACTCTATTCAAATTTTTTTTCCTTTACAGATAATTGTCCAAGCCTCAAGAACAATTATTGAAAACAAATATAAAACACATATGTATACATTTTCTTATTGGTTACTTTACACGTAATTCTATTGGTACTCATAAATCTTGTAATGACTCTAAATACACGTGCTTACCAAATTATATACATAATTTTTATGTATTCTTTATTTTATAGATTATACATTCTTGTATATATAACTTTATATTAACTATAACATTATGATGATGGAATAAAAGTAATAGATCATAAATTACTATATCATATATACTAACATATAATACTATAAATAATACATAATATATATATATAATATAATATTAATGTGAATAATGCGTATTAGTATACATGATAATACACATAATACTGATATGAATAATATATAATAATACATATGATATAATACTAGTATAGATAATATATTTTCTTGTTATTTTTAGTCATTTTCAAATTATTTTCAATGGACATTCTATTTAAACGTAAAAATTTAGATTTTCGACAGAGAGAGATTATTAGTATTTAAATTTCGCATGTTGGCAATATGAAACTTCTTATTTCTAATGTCTTTTATTTAATGCCAACGTTACGTTAATGTTCCACGTTGTAGGATTGACGATTGCGTTGCTGTCCTTCCACGTCGCAACCAGCGATGGTAGCCGGTCCTGTTGTTCCGAGGCAGTGTAGTCGAGTGGTGATTTAAAGTGAGTGTTTAGAAAGTGGGATAAATTGCTTTTTCATAACAGAAAAATTAGATTTAAGGCAACGCAACGAAATGAAGAAGTTTAGCGTTTTTTTATTATTTTTCATTTCCACGATTACTTTCACAGTGAACAGAGGTAATACATAATAAAGAATGTTAACCAATATTCGTTTTACACTTTATAATTTACACTTATGTTGCGTATATATGTTAATGCAGAAAAACTATAGTCGTTTCTTTTTCAGCATTTCAATATGTTATGTACAGACTATTTTATGTTAAAAAAAAAATGCAACCTCTCTTAATGAAATGTTACCTAATAAATTTTATGTAATGAATTAAAATCATATTGTTCAAATCAGTTGTCAATTATACATGTATCTGTAATAATTTCTGTGTAAATAATTATGTTTGCGTTTTTGATTTCTGTTACAGTTTATGCTCAGGAAGATGAAAATATAGATGATATTGTGGATATTGAAGGGGAAGATAATTCTGTAATAACAGATGAAGAACCAGAAGATGAAACAGCCACTGTTTCGTCTGATGCGGATACAACTATATTGTTTACTAAACCAGTTTATAATAGATTATCAACGTTAGGTATGCATTATATTAATTTTCTCAAATCATATTGAATTTTATATATTTTTGAAATTAAGATTTATTTATATATTTATTTTTCAGAATTACCAGCTGGAAATTTAGTTGAATTTCTTATTGGTTTCACTAATAAAGGTGAATCTGATTTTATTCTTGAGTCTTTAGATGCCTCTTTCCGCTATGCTATGGACTTCAACTTTTATATTCAAAATTTCTCGACTGTTACATACAATAAAATTGTAAAACCAAAACATGAAGCAACATTGGCATACTCGTTTATTCCATCTGAGAATCTTGCTGGAAGACCTTTTGGTTTGAACATCAATTTAAATTATAGAGATGCTGTATGTAATATATTTAATATTTAATTTCAAAGGGATTGTAAAAAATTGATAGGTTTTCATGATTTTACAGAATGGTATTAGCTTCAATGAAGCTGTTTACAATGAAACTGTACAAATAATAGAATTGGATGATGGTCTCGATGGAGAAACAATTTTTTTGTATGTATTTCTGGCAGCATGTGTGATATTGACACTGGTAGGAGGACAGCAGCTCCTTTCATCTCTTGGTCGTAAATCTCGGTCTTCTAATACTCGCAAAACACCGGTTGAAATGGGTACATCCAACCCTAACAATGTAGATTACGATTGGTTGCCAAAAGAGACATTAAATAGAATTAGTAAGTGTCAAGTTTTGTTTAATTTAAATAAAATGTAAAATGATATTTTATTTAATATATAATATTTTGTTACAGATAAGTCTCCTAGAACTCCCAGACAGAGTCCTAGGCAACGAAAGGTTAAGAGAACTGATGATTAAGTTATGTTAATATACGTATGTGTGATTGTTGTGTGTAAATAAGAAGTATGATTTTACATTTGTAATAATTCTTTAGCAACAAATTCTCACATTTCCAACCCGTGATGTATTAAACTAAGAACTATCTGTCAGCATCATTATTATGCATTTAAAATATTGAAAACAAATGTTTTACATTATTTTATAACATTTTAAAATAAATTTTATAATTAATTCTCGATGTTGCATAATGTTGTTAAAGAGCAAAAGACAACAAAAATTGAAAATTAAAATATGAATTTTTCATATTAAATAGTATTAAAAGTTTTTCACACATTATTAGTATAAACTATATGTATGTATGAATGTATATACATTTTATAATCATTGTCAATTTTGTCATTGATTACCATTTCTAAATTGCTGTTACACCAATAAAACAGTTTTGTATAAATTGTTTTCATATTCTTTGTGTGATACAAAACTTCATAACAATAATGTAACTACTAAATATGATTTTTAATAATGTATCTATATATTTTTTTCACAAATATAAAATTTTCAGTTTAAACATAAATATAGAGCGAATTACATAGATATTTATTTTAATACAATTGTATACAATCAACATTATTATATGAAAAACTTAATATAAATAAATTTCAAGAACGTTTATTTTTTTCTTCTAATTTCACGAAATATCATTGTATTGTATATATATTTGGTGTGCATGCGGTTAGAGATACGAAAAATTCTAAAAAAAATTTTGTTACGTTATTTCTTGCTCTGCACATGTTTACGATATTTTATTCTCTTCTTTATACTTTTTTTTTATCCTTAAATTTTACTCAAGGTACAAATGTAAATTTAAAACTTAATTTGTAAAAATTAAACTGAAGCCCTGTGTCTGTTATACATTCTAACCTAATCTACATGGTGTCGTTGTTTAGTTACTAAATAATCCCACGTCATACCTTGTCATACTAAGCTGTACTTACGTGCAGAATCTAGTATCGCATCAATTATACTGTTAACGCAAAAGTTGCAAAAAAATGTCGGACGTGAGAAATTGGTTCAATTCTTTGCCAATTTTTACAAGATATTGGCTATTATGTACAATAGTTTGTACATTAGTCGGAAGATTTGGACTGGTAAGTCCGACCTCGCTGATACTTATAAACGATCGGTTCATAAACAACTTCGAAATTTGGAGAGCAGCGACCAGCGTTTTCTTCTACCCTCTCAATCCTGGCACAGGATTTCATTTCTTGATTAATTGTTATTTCTTATATAATTATTCGCTGAGGTTAGAACTTGGGGAATATGACGCCCGACCAGCAGATTATTGCTTTTTACTTCTATTCAACTGGATATGCTGTGTTATCATAGGTCTTATCGGTGAATTCCATGTTCTTATGGATCCTATGGTACTCAGCATATTGTATGTTTGGTGTCAATTGAATAAAGATGCGATTGTTAATTTCTGGTTTGGTACGTATTCATTTATTTTACAAATATAAAGCAACAAATTTTCAATATCTTTAATATTGTAATATATCTTTAAAAATGTAATCGTTCTAGTAGTTATTGTATGCTTTTTTTTTTAAACTAACAGGTACACAATTTAAGGCAGTGTATTTACCATGGGTATTATTTGCATTTAATCTCATTATCTCTAGAGGTGGCATGATGGAACTTTTTGGCATCTTAGTAGGACATCTTTATGTGTTTTTGAAATTTAAATATCCCCAAGAATTTGGTGGATCTGAATTTTTGAATACTCCAAAGATCCTTGAATCTTATTTTCCATCACAAAGAGGTAATATCAGGTGGTTTGAAGCTGTCCCACAAAGAAGACAACGAACTAGAAATAGATTTCGCGGTTATAATTGGGGACCAGGATATGTTTTAGGGGAATAAATTGTTAATCCTATTATAAGAAAACAAATGTTTTTATATTAAAGTCTTTTTCATTGCTGTTTTGATCTAATTAGTTTTATTGAAACATATAAAATAAAACATACAAATAATTATGATTTTCCAATATGTCTTGAAAAAATTTATCAATAATAAATACGCTTAATACACTGACTCAAAATATAGAATATATTTGAATTGTTTTGAATTGTCACTATCTTGATAATAATTAAAATTCTGTTCAATTGTCTACTTACATTTTATAACTTTTTGATGTAATAGTTAAAAAACTTTTAAATTATAATTTCCTTAGTGATGTAGTTAGCAAATAAGTTAATTATAAATACATGGACATACTTTTAATTCAAATAATAAAAATGCTAAGAAAAACAATTTATAAAAACATGCAAGATTTAAAATAAGAATAAATTATGCAATTTTATATGAATGAGAATGAATAATTGCAACATGTTTAAAGATTAATCTTACTATAATTCATTATAACTATATAATATACTTGTTATAATTAATATATTGAAAATTAAATTAATGTAGTAACAAATATGTTATATGAATGGATGTTTAGTGTTTATCCTTCATTTTGTACAAAGTATATGATACATTAAAATATTTTCAATCTATTTATTGTATTAAAAAGAGGGAATACAAATAAAAATACAACACTCATATTAAAAATGTTTTATTTTTTTATTCCTTATGATAAATCTGAAACAATGAAAATATAAAATTTTTAAAATTAAAATATTATGTATGTATACCATATAAAGTAATGATTTTTTATTGAGGTTTTCTCCTCAGTAGCAATATCCCTGATAGTCTAAATTATTATAGCTAATCAGGTGGATGGGATGCTAACCCCTACCAAGAGCTCAAAGCTAATACTTTTCACCACAATATCTTACTTATTTTTTTCTCATTTATTTGTCAACTATATAAAAAATCAACTCAAATAAGAAATTGTACTAAAAACATTAGCAAGAAGCTCTAAACTTACCATTACTCATCTGGAACTTGAAGTTTACCACCATTAATTTCTTCAATAAGATCTCGTGGTGGTCTACCTTCAACAGTACATCCGACTGATTGACAAGTTCCTAGTATTTCCTTAACAGTACCACTGAGGTACTTTGACATAGACCTTGGTCTCATTGATCGAGCAATGGAAAGAATATCATCAAACGACAAGTTTCCATTATGCTTAATATTTTTTTGTCTCTTACGATCCCTAGGAGGTTCTTTTAGTGCTTTGATGATTAAAGACGCAGCAGATGGAACTACTGAAATCGTAGCTTGTCTGTTCTGAATTGTTAATTGTACAGTAATTTTCAAACCTTTCCAGTCGCTGGTAGCTTTAGCGATATCATCACCAACTTTTTTTGGAGACTATAAATATAAAATATCATATCTTTAAAAGCTGTCAAAAAAAGATATTATTCCTAAATAATTTAAATTTATAAAATATAAATTTACCAAACCAAGAGGACCAATTTTTGGGGCTAGAGATGAAGTTGCTCCCACTTCGCCTCCAACGCATCTAAGGTAAACTATTGAAACAAATTATACGTATGAGGAAAATTTTACTTTCTTTTTCTATATATTAAAATATATTGAACATATACCTTTTTTAATTTCATTAGGGTCAAATTTAGGAGGCATTTTGTCAATTACTGCGTAGGAAAACTAAGAACTAAGTATGGATAAAACAGAATATAAGACGAAAATCCGAGAACGACACTTACACGTGGTAAATCTCATTCAAAAAGGAGAAAAGAGGTTATGTCATCCAAGATATGTAACATGAACTATATAATCTTATGTAGTTCTACGTTCAAGTTTGTAATTGCCACTTTACTTATGCAGCGTTTCAAGATAACCAACTCACGTAAAAATAATGTTTCCTGATATTAATTAATATTATTAATAAGTTATTATTATTTTAGTTACTATTATTTAAATACTTTAATATTAATATTATTTTAGTAACTATTAAATATGCAAAATATATTTATCTACATTATATGCTTAGTAGGGAATTTCGTCTATGCAGTGAAAGATATTACAGTTATGACGATGAAATTTATAAATTAAAAATAAATGTCAATTGATTAAAATTTGAATTCTTCAGCACTTAATTATATATATAATACGTTTGAATTTAAAGCATCTTATATTAATCAATCAGACAATCAATAAGACTAAAATTATTTTCACGAAACTGTTTGAATCATTTACAGTACGTGACATTGACGGCACCCTCATCATACGCACCTACATCGTATATCTTCTTTTGCATCTGCGAAGCATTTTTCTTTTCTCGGAAATAAAAAAAGCATATTTTTCTTTTCTCGGAAATAAAAATGCTCCTTATTTTTGCCATATTTAATACTTAACAATTTAAATAACTATTAGAACTATTAGAATAACTATTAGAAATTTAAATAACCCAACCAAATAACACTTTTTTTTTTTAAATCAGCAATGTCTTTAAGTGAGAAAACGGGACGAATTTTTGCATTAACCCAATATTTTCTATTCACATTTATTATTTATTCATTAGGTACGATAACATTAATTTAATTGTTAAACACGTTTTAAATATATTACTGTAATATTCACGATTTTTTTCATTTTATGAAGCAATGCTGCCCTTATTATTTTATAGTTAGTTTTGTTTTATATATATTATAGTTAGTTTTATATATATTATAGTTATATATTAGTTTTATATATATTATAGTTAGTTTTGTTTTATATATATTACGTATTACAAATTAATAACTTAAAAATAAATATATTTGTAATACAATATAAGTATTTATAATTCATCCTAAATTGTTTTTTTTGTTATATCTAACATATAAAAAAGAAAACTTTAAATTAAATTTATACCATTTATTTCTTTAATAGTACAAAAATTTTAATACAATTTAAGAAGGATAATTTTCATTATTATTTCATTATTATGATTCGCTTTTAAGAAATAAATATACAGATAATGAAAAAACTCGATTATCATACACAAAAATAATAATTTGAAAGTAAATATATTTTGTTTGTACAAGTTAAATTATATTTTGTTTGTAAAAATTAAATGTAATTTAATTTAACTTGAAATATTCAAATTATTTATAGCTCACCAACAACAGCGACAGCTTCAATTTCAAATTTTGCCCCCTACAATAATATTTTATATTTGATATTAGATTTGGAACTATATAAAGATATGTATATATGTATTGGAATGGTATTTCATTACCATTGGTAATTTGCTAACTTGGAATGTAGATCGAGCTGGATAGTTTTCTGTGAAAACTAAATTAAAAAAAAAAGTATATGTGTATATGTATATGTATATGTATATATGTATAAATTAAAATATAAAGTAAAGCTTACATTCTTTGTAGACCTCATTTACACCACTAAAATTATTCATGTCTTCTAAGAAAATTGTTGTTTTAATAACTGTAAATAAATATGAAGAAATAAATTGATTAAGAATAAACTGATTAAATGTTTGAGATATTTATACGGAATATTGTCAATAATAATGTTCATCAATTGTTTTACAATTAAAAAATATAAATTTGAAAGTTGAAAAATAGAAAAATTATATATAATTTTCTAAATAAATGAAACCTTTATTATAATCAGATCCAGCTTCTCTTAGGATATATCCCATATTTATAAGAGCCTGACGAGCTTCCTCAACAGCACCTCCACTAACGAGTTTTCCAGTTTTAATATCAACACCAAGAGATCCGGACAAGTATAAAGTATGATCTACAAGTACTGCTTGACTATCAAAATAAAATTAATTGTTACATTGTAATCAAATAATTTCATATATAGTAATTTTATTTTCTATTACATTGAAAAGATTTTAATTTTATTCCAAATAAGTGAAAAATATATAAATATATATATTGTGTAATTCATAATGTAAGAATTGACAAATTTTAAATGATCAAAAACGCTGCTTACTTATATGGTCCAACAGGTTTTGGACTCAATGCAGATGATATTATTTTTCTTACAATCTTCTGTGATGCCATTTTTACTTTCTCTTTTCCAGTTTAAAACACGTTTATTACTTAGTTAATTATCAACTTGTGACTCTTCTTATGTACGGATATTTCATTTCTGATAAACTTTTAACCTCTGACTATAATAGATTATCTTGTGTTCAACGCAATTTTTTTTTAAGATATCATCTTTGGAAAAGGAATTATTAATATATTTCTCAATACAATTATTACGATAAATTTTTATAAAGGTATATAAAACAAAAAGAATAATACACAAATTTCTAAATATATTTTTCATGTTTGTTTTATAAAATTATAGCTTATACGTTTGAAAATTATTTTCTTATAAGATAAATTATATAGATTCTAAATTTTATCTTTCTTAACTTGATAAGAAATGAGAATTCATTAAATTTATTGTAATTTACTTCTTAATTTTATTTAACAAATGTTAACATATAAAATTCATAATATAGAACCAAGATTATTAAAAGCCCTTTTCGATTAAAAATATATTGGAAACTAAATTATATAAATTTAATAATGTACTTATAATGTATCCTACATATAATTTCATTATAAGTTATGACTTTTAGTAAGATAATAATAAATAAATAGTTGTCAAGTTTAAATATAATTCTGCAATTTATATGTTAATTTATTAATAAAATACAGGATTTTTTTAGTCAAATTTTACCTGTATATCTTATGATACTTTATTACAAAATTATAATAAAAATATGAAATATGGAAAAAAAAGTAACATGATTCATTTCAATAAATATTAAATTTATTTGATATATATACCTTTTTTTCAGACGTTATTGACATATAAATTTAATGACATAAAATCAATTATAATTATATTCTCTGTATTTTTATTATAATTTATAATAAAGATATATGTTTAACTTTTTACCTAAATTTATCTTAATACCATTTAAAGTTTAGTTGATAAAACTTGGAATACCCTGTACATTTAAAGAATTAGGTTTTTTTTAAAAAATGAAATGATAGAAAAAACATTTATCTTATGATTGAAATTTTTTAATACAAAAATCAGTTTGATTTTTTTTTTATTATAACTTCTTACGTCATTAAAAAGTTGTTTACTAAGATGAGGTTCATAAAAAAATTAAAATATTAAATAGAAAATAATTTCATAAGATCACTGTTTATCATAAATAAAAAAATATGTGACAAAACAAAATTAAGCAAAATATAAACAAAAATAAATCTTTCTTAATATTATTATTAATTCGTTACACACGTTCATGCTTATTTCTAAATATCTTAATGAATATAAAATATTATATGTAAAGTAATCAAATGAAAAACGAAAATTTTGTAGATTAATTTTTTACTTGATAAATCGATGAGAATGAAGTTCTTACAACACAGTCGTATCTCTTAGTACGCATGCGTATACGCACATGTACGTACATATGTATTTATACATGCGATCACGCATGATTTCTATATGAATGTGTATCTGCATAGCTTTTACACACTTGCACTCCTTTCTAAGCACAACAAATATTACAGTATTTATTGTATTTATTAATGATAATGTCTATGAATCGAGAATGATTTGTAATGGGTTTATGAAATGAATTTTAATGAGCTGTATTGTTACGTCGCCCACGCCTCTTCCGAGTTCCCCCGGAAGGACGGTTTGAAGAGGCCCATTGTTCGTAAAAACGTTCTGCTTCTAACCATTCTTGATACTTATACCACCATTCTTCCCATTTTATATAATCATCTAAAGTAAGATCTCGAAGGTATCCTCTTGCTTTGTAATAATCATATCTAACACGAACATCATCCCAACATTCTAAACCTCTTGGCCCTTGTGCTAAAAGTGATTCCGGATAATGTCCTGGTGGTGGGGAATCATAACCAAGTCTTGCAATTCTTTCTTCACCTTCTATTACTACTTTCATCGCGTTTTCTCCATCTTTTGTAATACGCATATTTTCCATATCTCTACGATCTACGCTCCATTGTGCCATTTTACCAAATCTAAAACAGTTTTATAATATTATTATATATCTTTTTAATATACTCTTTTACAATATACTTGATCTTGTAATTTTATAACACGTTAATAACTAAATCATACCGCTCTGACAATGTCATTCTAGGTGGGCCTACATGTGATGTTGCGGAAGAACTGTCACTATCTTCGCTAGGTGAGGACTCGGGAGGTGGCCTGATCATTTGTGTTGATCCATGACTTGAGTGAGTTTTTTCTACTTTTACAGGTTTACGCATCTGTACAAATTTTATAATTATATATTGAAATGTAAAAGGGATGTATAAATAGAAGAAAAATATTAAAAATTTTAATGGAAATATACTAGTTTAAGATCTGAAATCATAATCAATTATGAACAATTACCAATGGGATAGGATCTGGAACTCGTGGATCTTCTGGAATTCTGGCATGATGTTTTTCTTTACGTCGGACCTTGGTTTCTTTTTCTTTAATTGTTTTATAGTCCTTTTGATGACGTGGTGGAGGTTGTGGCGTGGGTGGAGGTGTACGTGGACGTGGCAAAGGAGGTGACCTTGGTCTAGTACGAGTTGGTATTACTCGCGAACTTGATGGTACTACTTCTTTTGGGTGTGCTCGAGCTCGAACTGGTGTGAGCGATCTTGAACGTGAACGAGAAGGCTGAGCAATGCGTCGTCTCTCCTTTGGTGAACAGACACTGCATGATCGATCAGAGCAAGTACTTCCTGTGCTTGGACTGCGCGTAGGTCTTCCTCTCGTGTGTGATCTATCGCGAGGTGAACGCGGGCTTCTAGTTCTAGGACTACGTGGTCTTGGAATATGAGGACTTCGAGGTCTGGGACTTCTTGGACTTCGAGGATGCCCCCTACTAGGTTCCCCGCTTGTTGTGCCACCAACATATAGTTCCTTATATCCACTGTGTCGCCATCTGTTTGGATCACGTTCTTCTACTTCTAAGAGCTTTTTGTTCCAATAACTTGATTGAGATTCGCGTGCCTTCCGCATTACACTGTCTAATTCTCTTCGTTTTCCTGAATTCTCACCATGTGGCCTGGGTTGTGATACATTGGTATCCATCCGTAACTTGCTAGAGCTGCTACCACTACCGCTACCTCCTCTTCGTCTATCATAGTCCCGTGACATTCCTGAAATACAAAACATACTGTGAATCTTGCATTAACATTAATTTATACTGCATGCAACTACCATGTCTGTAATTACTTCAAGTACAGATACATCTATAAATGAATATAAATTTCACGATGCTCCTAGTTCCACGTAACTTTGCAGACACTCACCTGATAGAGATGTATAGAATGAAAGTATAGGAGGCGCGAAAAGTTGTGGTGATCCGAACTCCTGCGAGAGCAGTGAACACATTAATTTTCAATACACGACAGAACGCCCATAAAGATGATAATACGTTGAATTAATGGCCATGAGAACCGCTAGAACCAGTGTCATACGTCCCTTGGATCGACTGGCCTACATGTCAAAAATTCTACGTGTCACAAATGCGTATCCTGCGGCGGCAAGGCAGCACGGAGAAGTTAGTATTCCCGAGATTAAAAAAAAAAAAAAAGAAAAAAAAAGGAAAAAAAAGAAGAAGAAATGCGTATGCATTTTTTTTTTCTCTGTGAATAAATAATATCGCGGAAAAAGTCCATATGCGGGTACTGGACAATCACCCGTCGCGAGACCTTACCATCGCCACTCACTGCACGTCCAGAATTGTAGTACGCTTCGATCCACGATCCACAAATGTTGGTCGCGTGGACATTCAATGAGCCGAACCAACAAATTCAGAGACCGCCCTCGAAAGGCGTCGCGCGCGCCGATCGTGTCCAGTGTTTTACGCGTTTCTCATACCGAACCGGAACGCGCGAACAGGTACGTGGAAGTTTATCTCCCGGGCATTACCCGGGCAATGCCATTACCGGCGGCACTCACGTAGCCCCGATTCGCGGTAAGATTGCTTCGTCGATCGTGAACACCGCGAGTCGTGCACTGGTGGAGGGAAATACAATGAACGGCCCGGCCGCGGCGGCGTGGTTTCCGCAGCCGTTTTCTCGACATCGTTCGGTGATCCGCGTGCCGAACGTGTCACCGTCTCGGTCCTCTCGCGTCGGAGGACATCTTGTCGCGTGCGACCCGCAGCCACACCGGAACGCGGCAGCGCGGAATTCGTGGCTGGGGGGGCAACGGAATACACGAAGGTCACGTGAAGGCCCGGTCGCGCGCGATTTCGCGACACCATTTTAGATATTACCCGATTGTAACACGCACCTTTTGCGCTGGTGTCGTTACGGAGAATTCTGAAACCGTGCGTACGCAGATAACCTCGGGCGTTCGCCTGAGGTGGCGAAAGGAAAGGGAAGAGAGTGTCCGATGACCGGTATGCACGCGTTATAGCCTCCTTCGCTCCTTTCTTTCGTCAAAAGCGAAGGTCGGCTTCGCTCTTTTCACCCATTGCACTATGTATATATCTGTATAAAATATATATATATATATGTGTGTATGATGTGTGTAATATATACATATATATATATTCTTTCTCTTTTTTTTCAACGTAGTTTCACACAAAAACTCTTACTCAGACAGTATCGAGACAGATCTCTAGTTTTTTGGTTAGCGTTGTCTGGCTACTTTTTCTTTTTTTTTTTCTTTTCCCCCTGTACCGAAGTGCGTTAAGGGGCTTTCGTTTCATTCGCACCGGACGGTCGCACTTTGAAAATCAATCGCCCACCCGTGGCGAGGCGCTACCCGAGGAGGGGTTTTCACGGCATTCACACCGGGGCTCAACAACTATTCCAGATTGACGACACTCACTTTTCCTCACCGCGGCGAATCGCTAGATTCGCATTTTCTGGCACGAGAATCGGTGAATCACTTCCGCGTGACGTTTCACGAATGAAGATCGTTAAGGAGATTCTCCTTCTAGAGCCGCACCAAATGCAAGAGGATGCATTCCAAACGAGACAAGTGACAGATGTCGCCACGGGGACTACACGGCCATAGCAACGAATTCCTATCGTTATTTGCAACGATTTTTTAGTCTCGCCGCTTGTTCCCGGTTTGACATCCACGTCACGCGAGTTACGTATTTTTTTTCGCGTTTATCGAAGTATTTCTTTTTCTTTTATTTTTTTTTGTCGTTCTTTATAGAATACGTAAGCGTAACGTATAAGTAAAAGTTGGGGAAAGTTACAGTGCAATTCTACTGCGCATGTGTCTTTCTATTGGATAATTAATTGAACCCATGTGCCAATGGTCTTGCACCACACGAATTTTATTTGGAGTTAAAGTTTTCTTTTAAAGTCAAAACGCAAAAATGACAATTGCCATTGGATTCGAGGGCAGCGCAAATAAGCTAGGCGTTGGAATTATTCGAGATCAGGATGTTCTCTCAAACGTCCGGCATACGTATGTCACCCCACCCGGCGAAGGTGAACCTAACCTTTCATGTTATTACTTTTACCGATATACGCAAGTTATAACGCACAAGAATAATTGATACTTCTGGTTTGTTGTTATTTAAACTATTATATATTAGTATATATTAAACTAAATATATATTATAAATTATATATATAATAACATTATTATTATATGTTATTATATGTTAAACCTTTTAAAGTCTATTTTAAAAAGGATTCCTGCCCCGCGAAACTGCGCAACATCATAGAGAATGTATTCTCAATGTTCTGCAAAAGGCGTTGGATGAAGCTAAAATAACATTAAAAGATGTGGATGTCATATGTTATACAAAAGGGCCAGGAATGGGTGCGCCGTTAACAGTCGCTGCATTGGTAGCAAGAACAGTTGCTCAAATATATAATAAACCAATAGTTGCAGTGAATCATTGTATCGGTCATATAGAAATGGGACGATTGATCACAGGAAGTGTAAATCCAACTGTTCTATACGTTTCTGGAGGAAATACACAAGTTATCGCATATTCTCGGCAAAGATATCGCATTTTTGGCGAAACAATAGACATCGCTGTTGGAAATTGTTTAGATCGTTTTGCAAGATTACTGAAATTTTCAAATGATCCTAGCCCCGGTTACAACATTGAACAACTAGCGAAAAAGTAAGTTATTTTGTTGGAATAAGATTGAATGTTAATTATATCTTTTATATAATGTAACATTGCATGCATAGAGGGACAAAGTTAGCTCCATTGCCTTATGTAGTGAAAGGAATGGATGTGTCTTTTTCGGGAATTTTAAGTTACATAGAAGAACATTTGTCTGGTTGGCTTGATTCGAAGGAATTTACTCCAGAAGACTTGTGTTTCTCTTTACAAGAAACAGTATTTGCCATGCTTATTGAAATTACAGGTTAAATTCTTATTAATCATAATACAGATATAAAATTATATAAAATGGAACAGATATTATAGATTTATTATACGATATTACAGAGAGAGCAATGGCTCATGTAAAATCATCAGAAGTATTGATAGTTGGTGGTGTAGGATGTAACGAAAGGTTGCAAGATATGATGAAAGTTATGTGCGAGGAAAGAAATGCGGTGCTTTATGCTACAGATGAACGGTTTTGCATAGATAATGGTGTAATGATTGCTGTAGCTGGATTACTTCAGTACAAAACTCAAGGGCATACTTCATGGACAGAAACAAGTTGTGTACAACGATATAGAACAGATGATGTACACATTTCTTGGAGAGAATAAAATAATTTTATATGAATTTACCATTTTTTGATTGTGCTTGAGAATTATCTGAAATGTTTACTATTATTGTTATATACAGAAAAAAATATATTTCATATAGTAAAAATTTGTAGTTTCATTTTATGACACATATTAATAAACATTATGTTATGATATATTTAGTATAATATGATATTAAAATCATAATATATAATACATTATAATTATCATAATATTATGATAAATTTATATAAATATTTATATAAATTAATTCTATTATTGTTGTATTTTAATAAATATATTTAACAAAGGTGGATAAATTTTTGTTATAAAGGATTTTCATGATTAAAATATACAAATTGGTATTTCAAGCATATTACATTAAACTGTTATTTTTAGGATTATATTTTTAAACTTTTTGTAAAGTTATTTCTATCGACCGTTTTACACTCAAGCTATTTCATCAGTTCAAATTAACCGCGTGATTTTCAATTTTCAGTTAAACGTGTTCCCCCTGCGCGCGCATCCGCACGCCTGCGCGTGCACGAATGTTATACAGGTTCAAAATTGATATCGAGCTATCGGTTGTGAAAAGAGAAAAGCGAGCGTCATAGGTGGAGGTCAAATTTCCATGACACGCGCGATAGACAGGCTAGTGTACGATATTTGTCGACGCAGGCGCGCATCTGGCTGTAGTCCAAACAATATCCTCGCCGGCAGTAGTAGCAGCTATAATATTAGTAGAATCCGTATCGTCGTCATTACCAGATACACGATCAACGCTGTTGGTTGTTGCAAATGTTAGTAGATCCGTCTCGTTCGATCTCGATTTTCAAAGAAAGTTACTTTTCAGTTTTTCGTCGATATTTCATTGCTTAATAAGAGATCGTACGTTTGAGTTTTTATTCCTTGCAAGATTCGTATTACTCTCTCGCAAGTATGAAATAATAGAAACTTTTTTTTTCTTTCGCGTTGCATTTGAGCGCGGCTATGTCACACTGACCATTTCCTCTAATCGATAGACGCGCGAACATCGATTGCAGCGCTTAGTGTGGAACAAGTGGCAGTACGATACCGTCGTCACTGCTCGTCACTGGCCGTCATTGCTCGTCACGGTGCATTATTCGTTGTGCTCGCTCACAGGCAAAATGTGTTGCTACACCACGATGCGCAATGTGTCTCTTCGGACGGATGGTGCCCGTGTTTAAAGCAGAGGTGAGTCGCAAACGTTCGTCTGCTACTCTGATTCGTTTCCATTGCCACTCTACGTCTATTTCCGTATAGGAGCTACTTCATTATAGAATCGGTACCGGTACGCGTCAAATACTGTCCCCGAATAACACGCGTACAGACCTAGATAACTTGAATTTCTCAGCTGCTCGTCCTTGAATCTCGCAAAAATCATCGGCTTCAACATTGTCATCATTGTTATTCCGATGTCGATTTCAATTGAGTCTATTTTATTACACAGTTACATATCTCGATATCACCTGTACAATTTCACAGCGATTTCCGACCAAACTTTTCTATCAGAATTCAATTCGAAACTTGCGTCAAATTCAATTCGTTAGACTGTCACGTATATAGAACCTGCTATTGGAATCACTCTGAATAATAATTCACGATACGTCGTTCTTTATATTAGACATTTGTTTTTTTACATTCAAACGGATGTCACGATTTAATATTGTTAATATTATAATTATGAATATCACAATCGTGTTAGTTCGATGACAATACGGCACGTAGTAAGTATGTAATTACGTTTCTTTGGCCTATATATAATGGGGCTTGCAACGTATCTAGAGATGCAGGTTGTAAATAATTGTTCCTTACTACTTGTCCAGTAACGCTTGCCATCCATCTTTACTACTGTTGTTCACAACGCGCGTTATTTCAATTACACATTTCTACGTTATTTCTTTTTTTTTTTTTTTATCAACCACTCACAGCTGCATCTCGCCTTTTTTGCGCCACGCTGCGAATTTGAATCGCAGGCGACGTTATTAAAAGCAAAGAATTCAAGAAATTGCCGTCTTACGACACTTCGCGAATATTTTTGCTAGTCATATAACGTCGTATTGACGCGTAGCCAAGATCTGAACCGTGCATCTAAACAATACGCGGACAACGTGCATTTAAATAATACAGTCCCAGATTATGCACGTATATTGGTCGCTGGCTGTGGTTGACGTCTTGACATAAATATTTTTCGAAGTAAGGCCAGAGTTATCTGCAGGGAAAGAAAAAAAAAACAAAAAGAAGACGAAGGAAAGAGAACGAAATTGGACGTCGAGGTTATGTGTACGTGCATAGGAGCCAAATAACAGCGAGAAATAAAAATCCAATCGATAGGAAGAACATTGAGCGTAACGAGCACGAAGTAATCCAGAGATGTAAAGAGGGAGACTTGGTCTGGAATTATGCCACGAATAAATGCCGTGTCGTGACATTTAAAATTGCTCCTTGTAGAACAAGAAATCGATTTGTTCGATTTCGTACGGGAACACGATCTTCTGCCAAAATTTTGACGTTACGAGTGTCACGATACAGCGTACACTTTACAGCGATAATAGACAAGTTGAAAGTAAAGGTCGAAAACGGCTTTTCAAAACGGCTCGAACGGAAAGAGGTTATCTTACGGAATTGACACATAACCTGTAATTGCAGTAAATTGTGGTAAATTGTTTTGGCATGCCATACGTACGTACATTTGAACTTCATTCGCATTTATCTAGAGTCCAGAAGATTTAAAGTTTATTAAACGATCGTTTAAAGGGTATTTCCTTTCGCGTAGTTGTTTTCGCCCACATGGATCGATCTGCGTAAAGTAGATACTCAAATGTACTCGAAAAGACCTTTTAGAGCACGAGTATCAAACAATTGCTGCAGAATTGCAGCATGTTCATTTGCGTGGTTAACCTTTCCAGAGGAGCGTATGCATTATCGTTCATAGGTGCATTCGACTATATTCCTTTTTGGGTATAGTAGTATGTGTATAATAAAAAACTTTTTGAAATTTCATTAGCGTTGCAAAAAGGTGTAGGTAAAATAAAACTATAGTAATAACTTTGGTAAGAAATTGTTTCACGTAGCAAACTAAATTTCGTAGAATTACACTTTGAATCTTTCGTATATAATTTTCGCAACAGTTTTGCATTTTAATATTTTCTATAAACGCATAAAAATCCACAATCTAATAATGGGATTGGACTGTGAAGATATTGTGAATTGCAGAAAAATAGCATGAAATTTTTGACTTTGATATTACTTCCTCTATGAAGGAAATTTTAATAGGAAATAGCTAAGAGTGGAAAGAATCTGTTGGATTCGAAAATGCAGTTTCACGAAAATTAAAATCATAATTATTAAGGCACGTATAATATATATCAATATCTTTCATT